TCATTTACTAAGGGGAAAAATTATCCAACCCTGCCTGGCCCTATGTGAAAAAGTAACTACACCTCCCTTTAAATCGTAAATTAACTGTGAGTAACCATATTTTTTTAAAGCTGAGTTCAATTTCACTAGACACACCCGGGCCTAATTACTGTCAGACCTGTTGACTCAAGACATTCAAAATCATTTCTAAGGCTTTGGCATGATGACAGCCCTTATCTACAAATGGAGAAAAGGCGGTGAATGTTCCCAGGAATGCAGGTGTGACGTCACTCAGTCAAGGTCAGCGTTCATCATGAGACAATAAGAAAGAGACCAGGGCTGAAACCACTGCGGACCAAAGCGCACAAAGCCTCGTCTAACTGTTGCCAAAAAACATCCTGATGGGCCTCAAGACGTTTAAGAAAATGTTTTGTGGACTGACAAGACAAAAGTAGCAGGTTTGAGTCCTGTTACATCTGTCGTAAAACCACAGCACTTCAAAAAAGAACATCATACCACCAGTCAAACATGGTGGTGGTAGTGTGATGGTCTGGGATCTTTACCGGCACAACCACCTACTAGGTTTCGGGGTAATTACTTTTTCACATGGGGTCAGCTACGTTGGAATAATAGTTTTTCCCTTAATAAATAAAATATTTTTTTAAAACAGCCTTTTGTATTTACTTGGGTCATATTTGTCTATTTTTGGGGGGAATTTTCTAAAACATGCAACAAAAATATAAGACTAAGGAATTAGAAAGGGGGAAAACTTTTCTCAAGGCATTCTACTATTAATTGTCAACCATATTCTTATATTATTTAGAGAAAGTGACAATTGAGGAGTTCGTCAAAGAGACCACAGAGTCCTTGTGCGGCTCAATGCCACATTGAGAGCACAGTTATGTTGCGATTTACTCTTTTCGGTCTTTAGATGCATTGCTCTGCACAAACGTCCAGGGGCTCAGACTCAAGCTGTCTGTTTTGCAACTTCACCAACAAGCTCTCCACTCTCACAGTGACGAAAACACCAGCCCATAGAGCGAAAATGACTTGCAGCTCAGTGGTCTTCTAGAGAGGTGTAATGGCAGTGACTGTGCCAAACAGGTGGACTGGCTGTGCTCTATAACCTTTTCTCTAAAAAGCTCCCATTACGCCCAGCAGAGGAGAGACAATACAAAACTGTGTGCTGGAACCCCGCTGAGCCTCAGGAGAGTGTTCAGCTCACCTCACACTGCGCCTCAAACCTGTCAGCCTCATTTCGCTTTGAGGTGTGGGCGCCCATCGCAATTTGTGGTTACAAGGGAGTCGCTGCACGCATGCACTCGCATCGACTGTTTCCCTGTGTTCTTGGGTTTGGTCGCACAACTACTCGATTGCCAATAAGCTTGCTCTAAAAGATGCTGGGGGAAAAACGCCATACTAGCAATGCCCCAAATTATTTTGTGATCTAAAAAATAGTATTAGTATTATATTGTTGCAGGTGAAGCCCTATTGGTTGCACTGATCATGGTACATAGTAAATAGGTTGTGCTTATTATGAACCTGGCAAGCCTGTTTGTTTTATTAGCCTGGATTAATAGTCACCGATACTTCTTGAACTAATGTAAATTATGCAAATGCACCGACGTGTGATTTTGCTGCAAGCTGTCCTGTTTGCACTGAGATCTGAGGAAACAGAGCCTGATGACAAGCTGTCATGTTAGCACCATAGCACCACTGTTTTCAATACACATAAATGGCCTCAAAAAACTCTGGCACGGTTTGCAGCTAGTGATAAAACCGAAGTGAAAGCTACAAGTTCCAACAAGTCAAACAGATATCCAACAGTCGGGGCTGTGTATAAAATGTAAATAAAATTAAGAGCCAGTTTGTTTTATTGTATAACCTCGCTTCCAGATAATTGACCTTTTTGGATTGCGCCTGCTTGGGCGCGCTTGTCTCTGGTTTCACATACTTTGTGTCTGGGAACGTTTTCTCTCAGAATAAAACTGTTTTTTCTCGTTTCCAATCCCATCATTCATCTCACAGCCCCTGTGAGTCATATAGTGTCTCGCTGGAGTGGTCACAACCCCCTTGTTGAGAGCCGCTGATATACAGTATGTTAGCGGGTGCGTGTGACGACAGCAGTTGGTCACTAGCGTATGTGCAGGACCAAGAAAGCACTGCCGAGTGGAGTGCGAAGTGACCTCGGAGATCGACTCCCTCCAATTGTGCTGCATCTTTGTCTGGCCCGAAACTCCGGTGTTAATGATTAGCCCTGCTGCTTTTGTGCACCTCTTACAGACAAAGCCAGTGCGAGTCAATTGGCTGTTGCCCACACAGGCAGTGTGCTGCGACGAGGCCCAAAGAGAAAACAATCAGGGCTGCCTGCTACTCGGGGTTATCAGTGAAAATATGTGCCGTGATAAGCTGAATAATGTAATGGGTGAAAAAGAAAAAAAGAGAAAAACACAGAATTTATTAAGGCTGTCAGTTTCTTCTGGGCATGCCAGGCTTCGGATAATCAAGTTAAACTCTACGGACTCAGCGTTGTTGTTGTTGTTTAATTTTTAACTCCATTTTAAATGAAAAGGCCTCACCTTTCATCTCCTGCTGATCTATTCCCTCGAGGGGTGGGGTGGGGGGTGGGGTGTAAGTGTCTGTATGTGTGTGTGTTTGGGTGGAGGGGGTGTGTTATGTGTGTGAATACATATGTTTGTGTGAGTTCATTAGAAGTTAGAGTGTCGTGGGGGAGCTGGGAGGAGTTTTGTTTACGTGTGTG